ATCTCTGATTATAACTATTTATTGTACAAATTTCCATCGAATAAACTGCGTTGAAGGGAGCTAACAGCTAGTGTACATATATCTTGTAGATTGTTCTGGTTTCTATAAAATTATTTTTGTGTTTTGGGCGATGGTTTCTAACTCATCTATGAGGTAAGTGTTGCAGCCTGAACTATGGTGACTTGTATAAGCAAGAAAATGAATATCAGGTAAGCTATAGATGACAAATGTATTGAATCGAATAACTTCAAAATAATTCACAGTTTAAGCACTACAGCTGCCGTTCTAGTTCTAGCTAATAGAACAGTCTAAGTCAATCCCTAGAGCCGTTATTAACGAAAGTGTTACATTTGAGGAGTAAGGCTCAAAAACTTCAGAAAGTACAAAAGGTATCAATAGAGGAGCTCAACAGCAACTCAAAAATAGAAACTTTAGCTTTCAACTCTTAATCGAATTTGCCACGCCCCTATAGTCTTAGTTTGTAGAGCTGAGGACTTATTTATAATAGTTATGAAATTAATGGTAATATTACTAGTGTGCCAGATATAGTGATTGCTGATTTTCACTCATCTGTATGACTCGGGACAGACAGACGGACGGGCGAACGGTGGAAATAACAAATAACAGGACGCGTTCACTTCGTACGTAAAATAAAATAGCAGCAATTTATTAAAATTCCTCAAAAATATTAGCTGAAAAATACGATTTTGTTGGCCCCTTGAATAAACATAAAAGGTTTTTTTTTATGATATTTTGAAGCTCCTAAGCATTTTCTGTGGAATACATTGTCTCTTCATTATTCGCCTTTAAGTATTCCAGTATAAATTGCTTAAACTTATGGCTTGGGAGGCGTGTGGGTGGTTCTGCTCGCCCGACTTCATATTGGAGAATTGTGTGTTGGCTTTGATTTATGTCAACAGCTGTAATGCAATGCTTGAAATGCAGTCTTAGGAACCAGGACCAGCTGCAGGCGGATCGAATCGATTCGATTCGATTCGATTCGGCTCGAATCGATGTTCGTGCAACTTTGCAGACGTTGCAAGGAGCGTGGACAGCGGCCGCAGCCGGTGAGGAGCTGACGGCCTGTGACAGCGCTGCGGGCGAGGTCAGCAGGCGGTGCTGAAAGCGGACAGACTGCTGATATGCATCGCCGGCCGGCCCGAGGCGCTTGCCATTGGCAGAACAACAGACGCAACCTGGCACTCATTATCGGCGTCAAAGTTTTTGGCCAACGTACTTTCGAGACAGGCATCTCATGGGCATCGAATTATGACACTTTTAGTGGTTTTTGCTAACTATGCGAGTTGCCTTCTGCCACTCGGGACTGCCGCAGAGTGCCACACAGACTGGCTCCGTCTTTTGCTCTCGCCTTTGCTTCTGCTCTTTGGGTTTACTTCAAACTTTACTTCGATTTCACAGCCAAGAACAGCAACATTGTATGTATGTGTGTGTGTGTGTGCACATGTACAGGCATAAAGGAACCGCATTGTGCTTATGTGTGAGAAATATTTATACCCTCTAGAACACCTCTGACAGTAGGAGGTAGCTGCTTTGAACGACGTATTTGCAAAGATGCAGCAATCTATGAAATAAACTATTCCTTCATATTTCTCTCATCTGATCTTTATTTTCATTATATAATTCCATATCCATATTCTTAAGGTCTTCCCTCGCAGAGTTCACTTCACAAAGTATGCAGCATTTTATTGTTATTGTTGTACATTCATGCAGGGTATTTTCAAGTCTCTCTAGTTCTATGTACTCCTTACCGTCCCTTTGTTTTGGCTTATTTTTCCACTAGAGTGCCTCAGTGGCAGCAGCACAATCACGAAGTCAGGCTTCGATTACCAGCAACAGAGGCAAAAAGTTTTCTATTTTTTGTTTTCATACGTATATCATTTTAATTAATTTCGTTTTTGTCATTTATGAGGGTTTTCCTTTTTTTTTATTTTTTCGAATGAAGTAGCACTCTAAAGGTTAAAAGTCATTCGAAATATGGACGACTTAGAACTGCTTTTAGCCGTAGGTCAACTCTGGCTAATGGAGCCACATGATATTTATTTAGAGCGATTTCCATATTGGGCTAAGTGCATTTCCTAGTTGAGAACACTTCACATAATCACTTCAATTTATGAGAGTACTGTCATTTTGCATATTGATTTTGGCTATTGCTCGTTCAAGCGTTTCAAATATACATTATGTATATGTATATATATATATATATATATATATATATATATATATATATATATATATATATATATATATATATATATATATATATATATATATATATATATATATATACATGCACTTTCGGACTCTTTGGAAGCTTTTGAAGAGATGCAAATTGTGGTAGATTCTCATATGTAGCTTCGTCCAATGGTGTTCGAGTATGCAAACTGTAATATTACTCCAACTGAAAACAGTCCAATAGGGGCGTGGCAAGAGTTAGTGTTAGAGTGAGAGACTTGATCCTGGCACGTGAAGAAGTCTTTTTTGTTTTTTCACTGTGAATGATTCAATGTTTTCAATTTATGTTAAGATCTTAATCGGTTCCATCTTGATCATGTATAACTCTAACATGTTGTACGTAATTTAGTCAGCGACAAATGTCTTTTCACTTCATAAGCTGTCGCAATTAAACTCAATTGTATATAAGTGTCATATGAATCATATTTGTTATGTGTGAATTTTTTAATTTTTTTTTTTTTTTTTTTTTATTTTTTTTTTTTTTTTTTTTTTTTTTTTTGGGTACACTTGTTAATTTAATGGCACATTAAATATTAAAGCTTGCAAACTAGAGAACTTGATCACTTGTCATATGTTTTGTTTTGTTTCGTTTTTTTTTTTTTTTTTCAAGTGGCATTAAATCCGTCAAAACGTTTAGCTATTGTTGTATATACACACACACACACACACACAAACTCATGCACACATGTCCATGTGTGTTGACAACAAATTATACCATTTGGTTGTTAGATAGCATGACAAACATATGCATATACATATATGTATGTATGTATGTATGTATGTATGTATGTATGTATGTATGTATGTATGTATGTATGTATGTATGTATGTATATATATATATGTATATGCGTATAGCATTTGTACAAACTACTTATAATTGCTGTAATTACTTCACGTGCAAATGGACACTTGTACGTGTATGTGGCGGGCTACCTCTATGTATATGTATGTGTATATGTGTTTACATTTGTATGCATAGTGTATGTTGAATTGTGTCGATTAAAACTAATTGAAGGTTGACAGCATCAAATGCTACAAATAATATCAACCACTTTAATCGTAAGCGAATCAATGTAAAAAAAAAAAAAGAAACAAAACATATTCATCAATCATCCTGCTTAGAATATGTTATATATAAAGTGATCGACTTGTAGATACTCTAGGTATACTTTTTATTGGTCGCGCTTTAGACTCGGCTAACTTCTAGTAATAACTCCTTAGCTCCAAATGCATTATTCATTATTCATTCCACCTTGCGTGATAATGCTGTATATACATATATACATATGTATATGTATATTTGGCATTAAGCTTGAGTAGACTTTAAACTAATTTACATTTAAGCCTACAGTGAATAAGTTCGCAGTACTCGACTCAGCTGACTCAACACGGCTAAGGTCAAGCACTTTTATTGTTCAACTCAGCCAAAGGCTAAATCTGATTATGCATTCCCGGCTACAATGACCCCCGGAACCGAATCCCAATGCTGGGCAACAGCAACGACAAGGGAGCGAGGCGGAGCTGGCAGGGTATTGCAAAATCAAAACATTTCAGAGGCAAATACTAAAATATGATTACAAAATAGCGCGAGCCCGATTCAATCAAATCACGCAAAGCTAATTAACACTTTAAGCTGTTGCACAACCAGCCACTGACAATGGAGCGACAGGAACTACATCAACTATGACAAGTGGGAACATTTCACTCGGCTTCCACTCGATGCGCTTTAGCAAAACATCTTCGAAAATGACAGTCGAGCCGTCTGCAGGTGCCGATGTTGGCAATGCGATAGTTTGTCAGCCAAAAAGTACGCCGATTCGATTATTGGTGACTTAATTATGTTATTTACCTTGCATCGGCTTTGAGCAAATCTGGGAAGTTGTTTATCCAAGACGTGCTCAGCAGAGCGCATTTTGTTATTTCAATTTACTTTTTCCTGTTTGTGTGGCCAAGTTCTGGAAATGGTGGATTAGTCAACCATTTTTGTGAGTAATAGCCTTCAGTCTTTAGCTGGCCTGCAACGTCTTTATCGAGAGAGTCTTTATATAGAAAGATATAACAGATTGTCCTGGGAGAGTCCTGGAGAGTTCACATTTTGCTTATATCGGGCAGTTTTGGCTCCAGAGTCTGCAGTGTGAAATGCCCAAAGACACGACAGAGATGTTTCTGAATCTGAAATTATTCTTTTATATAGGATCTTATTTGATTCAGAGATTCTAGAGAGTCCGTTGTCTCAATTTTCATTTCTGAATCTAAAAATTGTCAATAGATGCAAAGAATAGGCTCCAGAACCTTTATCTGCGTAGGATCATATGTGACCATTTTAGATCCACGTTAGATTCCGTTGGATCCACTATAGATCCATAAAAATTGTTGTTTGCTCTAGGTCTATAATTGTAAGATAAATGAAAATAACATACGGACAGGGCCAAATCGACTCAGCTTATCGCCCTGATCAAGAATATATATACTTTGTGGGATCGGCCACTCCTCCTTCTGCCTGTTACATACATTTCCCATTTTCAATGGGTTCAGGATATAATAATGCCTATTAAATATGCAAGCTTTGCAAGTTCTGAGTGGTCATCGTTTGTCGACTTTCAGCTAGAGCTTTATACGATGAAGATAAACAAGGTGCAATGATGATCATAAGATCGATATCATATAAATCATATTTGATTGTTCTAGTTAGAGATCTTCATCGAAGATTATAATAAATATAATGTAGAGAAAACGCGTTTGGAAGACGGTATGAAGAAATTTACTTAGTTGGTTATTTAAGCCATCAACAACCACTGCATATATCATCCGATCCATAAGCGATCTGAAATAGTACTCTTCTGTGAATATATACTTATATGCATGTACTCTCAAACTACACTTAGCCCCAAATCTGATCCAACAACACCGTAAAAAATTTGAAAACTCAAATCATCCTTATCAACCGTCCGTAAGAGTTAACTTTGCATAGCTCAAATGCCAACAGTGCTCTAGCTGCCTTTGATCTTAACGAAGAAATCACGAAAATCATATAAGTAACAAAAATCAATTTCGATTCAGGTTTTTTTTTCTTATTTTAGAACAAATATCAAAAACAAAATAATATAATAGGGAATGAAAAAAAAAAAAAAAGAGAAGGGTTAGCTAAGTCAACAACAAGTAAGTCCTGTATATATGGGATTTGGCCTTGCGAAGATTTATCCAGCTGAAAGGTAAAAGCAGAAAGCATTTATTGTTTTTGGTGTCAGGATACTTGCAGTCAGGACTTACCAATGGGTTGAGCGTTGCCCACAATTTCAGCTGGCACGGTTGGCGCAATGGGCGCCAGGGGCACGCGCTCCGTCGGCGCGTCGACTTGGGCGACGAGCGTGCTCTTGGGCGTGGAGGCATCGTCGGTGAGGCGGTGCTTCAGCTCCTTGTACTTCTCGACCACGGAGCTGCCAAGTTCCTTGGCGCCTTCACCAATCTTGTCGGTGTAGGGCTTGGCCGCATCAGCGACGTCCTCGGCGCCCTGCTTCACCTTGCAGCCGATGCTCTTGAAGAAGTTCTTGAAATCGCTGTCCTCCGGATTTTTGACCTCGTCGCAGTCGGCGGCGCGCGCTTGGCCACTGAGCAGCGCCAGGCAGAGCAGCGCGCAAAAGATGATTGTTGATTTCATTTCGGCGTTTGTTTATTGCTGGACTGTTCTCCACGAGCTTGGCAATGCGACTGAGCGACGCAAAAACTCGACTCGCAATCGTACGGGGCTGCTTAGATTAGCGGGCTATACCGGTTTATCAGCGTTTCGTGGAACTGCCTCCGGTTGGTCCCGCTCTCCGACAAGCCCTAGCTCCACTCCGACGTTTACTAATTAATAGACCCGACAGTTTCAATCGTACACACACATGTCTGTACCTGACATACATACATATATAAAATCTTGGTTTACTTGGAACGCAAACTAGGGCTAATCTATCTTGGCCTCTGTTTCAGAATAATCCCAGCTGACCTATTGCAAATTTGTAGAAATGCGACCGAGACTGAGCGCAGCTAATGAGAGAAACTCAACGATTTCAAAATATTCTTTCACCATAAACCGAAGCAGTCGACTGACTCTGGAACGAATGCGATAGTTTGAGAAATTGCTTACAGAGTGCCGATCAACGTCAGCTTCGATATTGACGCTAATCACTTGATCAGGTTATCAGAGACCTCATATACTGCGACTTATACATCTGATGTTATCATTGAATGATCTCCAATTGCCTGAATATGCAATTGGCTGTAAACTGTATTGTGTTTGATCTTTCATAAATAGTAGCAAACCATCCGGCGTAATTGACGAAGTTGAACGGACAGATGCGATAATTGACGCTGTCTAAGACTGGAAACTTCTATACATATCGAAAATATCAAAGATTTTCGAGACTATATCCTTAAATACGCACACTCATACATATACGTGGACATAGTATCAAGCGATCCGGCGTAAATGACAAAGTTTAACAGAAATACACTAGATGGCGCTGTTTAGCAATGGAAACTTCTATGCATATCCGAAAGGTCAAAGATTTTCGAGAATATATCTTGAAATATTTGTAAAATATACATGAATATATATGTATTTATGTATGCATGTATGTGTGTATTTATGTATGTATGTATGTATAGTTATAAATGAATATGTATACATACATATTATATATAGGTACGTATACGGATGTATGTATACGTATGCATATGTTTATGTATGTATATTTACGATACATAGGTATGTATGTATACGCATGTATGTTTTCATTTATCTACATAGATATTCACAGATAAAAAGAGAATACTTGTTTACAGGGTATCTCTTTGTCGCACACTCGAGTCCAGAGTGCACTTACTCATTTATTACACGTTTGTCAAAAAAAAAAAAAAAAAAAAAAAAAAAAAAAAAAAAATAAAGAAAGAAAATAAAATCATGTTGTTGTGGTTTGTGATTCACACCGTTTGACATCTAAGACTACGAGTACATTTCATTAGCAGTAATCTAAAACTAGATAAATAAATATATGTATGTATATATAAATTGTGTATGTATATGTAAATTCGCTGTGGCAGGCGCGTCTACTTGAGCGGCTCTTGATTTGTAATTTCATTCTCAGCCTCATTGGGAGCGAGGCCATTCGCTGGCGATTCTGTGGAATGCGTCACCTGTCCAAGCTCCACATCGGCGTCTGCCACAGCGTCGCGCTCCGTGCTCTCAGTGGGCGTGGCTAGGGTCGTGGGCTTGCCGGGATCAGCGCCTGCTGAGGGCTTCCTGTTGCCGACCGTGCTGAGCAGCGAGTCAATCAGATCCCCGAAGCGATTGACGATGCTCAGGCCGACGCGCTTGGCTGTCTCCTCCAGGCGCTTGGCCTCCGTTTCCAGGTCCTCGATCCAGGGCTTGGCCTTCTCCAGCGTGCACTGCACATTGTGCAGAAACTGATTCACCTCGCTGGGCTTGGGCGTCACCTCGGCGGACTCCGACGACTTGACACTCGCCTGCCCATCCGATCCGCAGATAATGGGCGCGGCCTGCAGCTGCCCGAAGCAGATCGCCAGCAGGAAAATCAGCAGCATCCGCGTCTGAGTCATCATTCCAATTGCACCAAAGTTTTCTTTATAGTCGGAAATAATTGCTCTGGCGTCTGGCGTCTAAATTGTGGCGTCTGGTGTCTGAATTGTGGTGTCTGGCGTGTGGCGTGTGCAGCAACTGAGACCAAAAACCTGACTGAAACTTGTTTGCAGCCAGCGGCAGCAATGGGCTGCCCAAGCTTGGCTTTCAGCTGCAGATGGGTTACAGATCGTTCGACGGCAAGCTTTTTAAGAAAGTCGTCAAGCCAGTAAGACGCCAGACAAAGCCAACGAGAACTTTCAAATCGGGTGCAATCGACCAGCAAATACGCTGCTCCAGGAATGTTCGAGCAAAGCGAAGATTGGCCGCAAGAGCTGAGGAAGGCAGCCAACCCAAAGCATATACCGAATATTAATTATAAGATCTTCAGTCCATACTTGGGCCAGAAACCAATATACTCTGCTTGCTGCGAGCCAGTGCACGCAAAGGGAAGTCTGGACTGGGACTGCAAGCAAATACACTCGAGACTCTCAAATTGTTCTTTAGATAGACTTGCCGACCTCATTTACGATCGACGGGAATGACAAATGGGTCTTAAAACAAGCCAGCCAAGCCAAGCAGCTGGTCATGTCAATTGAAGAATATGCTGATGGAGTACCTAATTGGATAAACACATATCGTGTCTAGCGATAATACGCATAATCAACTCTTTGATTATACTCAATTGTTTAGCTGTAAATGGCTAAAGTGTGGCGGACGCACCAACTACTTTTATTCCCTTAATCCGATAATCGAAATGCAATTTTGATTACAATATTGGCACGCATGCCTACGACTCGACTAGCGAATACTCTGCCGCATCAGAGATGGCGATGGAAGTAGACCTAAAGGCCGTCTCTCTGTGTTATGATATGATACCCATACAGTGAAATAAAAACAATTAGCTCTTTATGTTGCAAAGCGCTTGCTTTTATTTTTACTTAGAAAACAAAACAAAAAATAAAAAAATAATAAACACACAAAAAAAAAAATAAGAAGAAGCATCGACTTCGAGCGGCTGAATCACTTCCTTAACTTGCTGCAGTTGCCCAAGGCGTCCAGGATGTGTCCGTGTCCGCACTGCTGCTCGCCCTTGAGCAGGTCTGGATTGATGATCTCGACGTTGGCCAGGAAGCCGCGATCTTTGCTCATGTCCTCGGCCGAATCCTTGGACAGCTTGTCACGGAAGTCGGCGATGCGATCGCTGATGTCGCTGCCCAGATCCTTGGCGCGCTCGCCCAGCTTCTTGGCGCCCTCCTTGATGTCGGAGCCCAGATCCTTGGCCCTCTCGCCCAGCTTCTTGGCGCCCTTCTTGATCTGGCAGCCGACGCTCTTGAAGAAGTCGCGCACCTCATGCTCCGAGCTGCTGCTGCTGCCCGTCATCTCCGAGAACTTGTCCCCGATCTCGGACAGCACGGCGGGCACCTTCTCCTCGCAGTCCAGCAGATCGGCCTGGCTGTGGGAGAGCCCCAGCAGGAGCACCGTCAGCACACCAATTACAAATAACTGTCGCATGTCGATTTATTTAATTTGAAGAATAATCGCTATAATCCCGTTGTCGTTAAGTTCCTGAGGCGCCCGTTTCCACACTGAACCCGACAATTGACTGCGCTTGACTGGCTGCGAGCGAGGACTGTCCACGCGTTTTATCTACTGCCTCGGTAGTGGCAGCCGAGGCACAGTAATAACACTATAAATAAAGGCCACAGCAACAACAACAACAACCGCAGCAACAACAATGGCGATCGTATAACAAGTCAGCCCCGTATTTGTGAAAAATTGTCGCCATTTGTTTGTTAGTCTGTTTGATTGTTGCCCAGATGCCTTCGCCTTTCCGCTTAATTCAATTTATTGGCTGACGCCAAGTCGCAGTCGCAGTCGCAGTCGCAGTCAGAGTCGCTTGTTCGCTTTTCTTAATTCATGAGTGCAAATTCAATTACAGACTCTACAGCAACATCAACCTAATAACAATCAAGAGCGCTTCCCGCTTGCCCGATGACTTCCAGCTGCAGCAGCATCCAAATATGCCTACCTGATCTCAAGCGTCCAAATATGCCGTCATATATGTACTATAGATTACCTTATCTAAGCTCTCCAAATCTGAACAAAACAAAAAAACAGAAACTGTGCACAGCTATGCCAAATCTATTCGCAGCTTCGCCTTTTGTTCGCATCCGTGTCTGAACTCTGATAAGGCAGCGCCTCAGGCCTGTAGATCATCATATAGAGCGTATCTAGCCTCTTCATATCTCTTGGCACACTCACTCACCGTTTGTTTATGTTCGACGGACTGGGATAATCATCAAATATATCTTCCTACGCTCTGCTGACGCATGCACTTGAGTCCAGTTATGATTTTGTTTATACTAGGCAAGCATGATCAGAGCTACGCACGAACGTTCCATTTGTCACATTCCAGTTTTCAATGCGCTCAACTAGACGCACTTCTCGCCAAACCAACAATAGACTGCGAGTGCTCTAATCGGCACTGCACGATTGGATGATACCCTAATCCTGCTCCCTATTATCACTCCACGCACACACAAAAGTACGTATCTAGGAAACTACGCAGTTTGCGCAGCGGCTGCGTTGCTTCTGTATACAGTGAACTACAGCTAAGTTGGTTATTATGAATCCTAACATAATTTGATTCATATTTTTATACCCGGAACCCATTGAAAATGGGAAATCAGGGTATAATGGTTTTGTGAAAAAGTATGTAACGGGCAGAAGGAGGCGTGGCAGACCCCACAAAGTATATATATTCTTGATCAGCGCAACGAGCTGAGTCGATATAGCCCCGTCCGTCTGTCCGTCCGTCCGTCTCTCCGTATGAGTGCATCGATCTCAGAAGTTATAAGAGCTAGAGAGCTGAAATTTGGCTTGCATACTCGTGTGTACCATACGCAGTACGAGTTTGCTTTATTTTTTCGATAAATCACCAAATAACTTTTTTATCGAGAATAATCGAAAAATTGACATTGTTTTTTTAGATTAATTTGAACACTTTTAGACCTGGACTCTTCGAATTTGCGTTGTATATAAAGTTAATCGATATAAAGATTTTGTAATTTACAGATTTTGGATACCACGCCCCCTTTTAACTCAATTCGTAAAAAACGCATTTCAAGTACTAGAGATATGTGCTTTAGAATGTACACACATTTTTACTATATGATTACGTTCTGAAACGTTCATTAAGATCGTATGTCTACAAAAGAAATTATTCAACAAATAAATTCTCATTATATTGCCCACACTGCAGCGTAGCCTTATGCGTGTATGTATCTGTGCATAAAAGAAGTGCAGAATGATTAGAATATCAGCTTGGAGGGTTCAGGGTATCTCCTAGTCGAGCAGTCTCAACTGGAGCCTTCTTACTTGTTAGGATCATATGTAGTACGTATGCACCAAAGCCCCAGATTCTATTTATATTTATTTATACGTATATGTGAACGTGAACGCCTGGTTCATCAAATGTCATTTTTGTTTACTCACTGTATTTACATTTATTTATTTCTTTACATATATGAACACCTGTTTATTAATTTTCAAAATTCTTGTTTACTCGCTGTCAAAATGGGAGAACAAAAAAAAAAAAAAAAAAAAAAAAAACAAATTAAAGAATATTTCCTTTATTTGTTCTTTATTCTCCATACTGAGTGTCAGTGTCTGAGCACTTTGAGTTCCCTCTCTTTTCAATATTGTGATTCTGCTTATCACCCTTACAGCCCACGAGTTAAGCGTACCCTGATTTGTGTATATTAAGGTTTCAAGGACGGAAAGTTCTGGGCCATCTTATAACCGATCGCTTGAGGTGTTGAAAAGCAATTGTAAATTGGCAATATTTTATTATTGTATGCATTATTAATTCATCTGAATTTATGATAATGTGCAATCCGACAGTTAGATACAAAAATGCACAAATACAAAGACATTGACGAAATTAATGCTGAGCTTATTATATTTATAATTAGGAACAAGAGGTTATCAAGAGGAAGGACCCTATGTGGTCATATCGTTGCCGCCAATGCTGCCGCTGGGATTCGAGAACTCGTCGGCGTCCACATCGATGTCAGCATCCGGGTCATCAACAACATCCTCGTTGTCCTCCTCGTCGTCCCCCTCTAAGACGTACGCGTCCTCCGGCTCTTCGTCGGGCGTCTTCTCGATCTCCGTTGAGAGCGTTTCCAACAATGGCAGGTCGGTGGTGGTGGTGGTGGTGGTGGTGGTGGTAGTGCTGGTGGTGGGCTTGCCGGTGGTAGTTGTGGTTGTTGATGCTGGTGATCTGTCGCCGCGCCAACTGTTGCTTGGCTCACGGTGGAACCTGATGCCTGTCGTGAAAAGAAATGAAAAGGTCAAAAGGCTTCACGGCCAATAGTTGCTCCGGTGACCCACTCACACTGGGGCAACGTGGGCTCAAAGTCACATCGTATGCGCTGTTCCATTTCGATGTCGTCCAACCACTTGATCTTTTTGGGCGGCGGCGTTGGGCGGCGCACGACGTAAATCTCGCGCACCTCGTACACCTCCAGATCCGGATTCACCGCAGACGGGCGATGACGAACGTAGCGCTTATACTTGATAGGATTGGGGGGTATATCGGCCGGATATGCCGCCGACTCTAGCAACAGGCTAAAGCCGCAGAGCAGCATTAGACTAAAGAAAGTCGACAGTTTTGCCATTGCTGCAGTATGTGAAGCACTGACTTAAGAACCGCCGGTCGTCGACTTGAATCGACTTGGTTTCCTTATCAAATGAGATGTTGCCCACAACAGGGTCCGATAACCTATTGACTCAACGCCGAATTAACAGGCAATGCATACTTTTGGGCTGACGTTTTAATATACATATGTATTTCCAATAATTACAGCAGGTAATTAATTCGACTTGGTGCGATTTGTTGTTTTCTGTTTTCTCGTGGCTTAAACATGTCAAATAATTCGAGGCAAGTGAATACGAAACACTCCAACTAGACTCAGGCATAGTTCAAGCTGTCGTGTCCGGAATTAAAGGAAAATTTTGAATTACCAACAAGATTACAAAACTGGAACCCAACGAAATGGGATATCTGTCTATACAAAAGTGTACAGGGCGTATCAGACTATTAAGTACTTGTAGCATTGTCTGAATGTACCAAATATCCAAATCACCAAAAAAAACGTGCAGCAACATCTATTTTCCTCTCTTTCTATGTATCTCTCTCTATCTCTTTCTGCCCTGTCTCTGTCCCACTCTCTCTCTCTCTCTCTCTCTCTCTCTCTCTCTGTATCTCTCTCTCTCTCTCTCTGTATCTCTCTCTCTCTCTCTGTATCTCTCTTTCTCTCTCTCTTCCCTATATCTATCTTTTTCTGTATATCTCACTCTGGCTCTCTCTCTCCTTCTCTATTTATCCCTTTCCAATTATTCCTCTCTCTCTCTCTCTTTCTCTCTCTATCTCCTTCTCTCTGTATCTCTCTCTCTCTCTCTCTCTCTCTTTCTCTCTCTGTATCTCTCTCTATCTCCTTCTCTCTGTATCTCTCTCTCTCTCTCTCTTCCCTATATCTATCTTTTTCTGTATATCTCACTCTGGCTCTCTCCTTCTCTCACTCTGCTTCTCTACCCCTATATCTCCCGTTAACTCTCTCGCTATCACTCCACTACGATTCAATACAAGCCTCAGACCCACGCTATAAGCTATATTATAACATAGGTATATAAAGAAAAATGTCAGGAACTCATTTATCGAATTTTGATGTTTTAGCAATAAATATGTTGAAGTTGCTTTGTCTGAGTCTCGCAGTTCTTAACCATAGATAAAATCAGCTGCTCTATTATACAACATTTTCATTCAGTGTTCAGCGGCTATAACATACAATATGTATTTTCAATCAGTATTCAATTCAAATCAGGGAACTAATAGGTAATATCTTTATATTGAAGCAATTCATTCAGATTTATAAGTTACTTTACTACGTTGAATAACACCAATAGATTTGATAGGCTGACGCAAGGTCTATATATCCTATATACCCTAGCCCGCTTCAAAGACTGCAGGGTATATAGAGATTCATTTTAAGTCAAGCGCATCGTGCTGCATTTGTTTTGCAATAGTTTTATCGCATTGCCCAATGTACCGGAATAGGTACAAGAAATTATCTACTTCCCTCAAATCGCATCACGTTGCACGTCGCTGTCAATAGGCAGCGAGTGGGCAGTTGGCTGTCAAAAGCGCATTGGAAGGGCATGATGGGCTTGCACCAGCAGTTTTCTTCATATGTCTCATGATTGTGCATTTTATCATGGGAATCGAAAAACTGATCAGCTTGGGCATATATAGAATAAAGCCATTCACATATGAGTATATGCTTGATAGGAACCGACTTGGAGGCACCATGAGCACAAGGCGAATATAAGTATTTTTAGGCAAAAGCCAAATCATTATTTATTTTTTTATGCCGTACGACAAGAAATACATTAAGTTTATTGATTATCACTCAATGTTTATTTCGCTAAGCATACTTGATCAGCATTCAAAGTCTTCGGCTTTACAATGTATAGATGCACAGTAAAAAATTTATACCATATTGACAAGTCAAACATTTTCAATTACAGGGTATGACTATTTTTGCAATATATGTATGTATACAATTCACAAATTTTGGAAAATTGAAATGGGTATTCGGATTTTATTTATAAAATATAAATGTTTATATATGTAGATGTATTATATATGTATGTATGTATATATATGTTTATAGTAGCTTAAGTTCACTAACTTATGAATTTAATAATAGTGCATACAACAATCTCATTCATATTTCTGACAGGGTATAAAGAGCTTTTCATTTGTTGTCTTTTTTTTTCATTTTCATTTTCTTTGTAGAAAACAGCTGCCCCAAGAAGCAAGCCATTGGCATTGTGAGAGAGCGTGAAAGAAGCAAAGTCGCAGCGGCATTAAATTAATGTTGCCCCCGGCTCCTGCTCCACCCACTTGGCCACATTTGCGACCATAGCATCGCTGCTCCGGCCACTGCTCGGGGGCAGCGATTCGAGCAGTTGGTGGCTGCTTTCGCTGGCGGGCAGACGCGCTTCACACACGAGCACGAGTGTGTGCCGACCAGCTGATCGCACAGAATCGAGAGAGAGGGCAACACTGAGAGCGGGAAGGCACGACGAGCGAATCGGCCGTGAGAGAGAGCGCCGCGTGCGTTGGAGCGAGACGGACAATTCGCTCTCAGTGCTAAAAATATTTGATTCTTTTTTTTACGCGAATGTGTGTGTGTGTGTGTATGTTTTTTTTCTTGTTACACAAATTGAATAAAACTGTGTTTGAAGGTGCATTCAAATTTGTAGTGCAGTGTGGCTGTTGTTGTTGTTGTTGTCGAAAGTGGCACACCTAAATGTCACGGGAAGGCAAGCAGCAGCAGCAGGTAGCGGCAGTGAATGCCTACTAAAAATATACCCCACATACTAAGAGCGCAGAGATGAAAGCATCCAAGAGCGCGGCGCGTGGGTAGAAGAAAAAAAAAAAAAAAAAAAAAACAACACAAAGCAGAAACGCCTTTCATTTCATGCACACAGACAAAGAGAGGCGGCAGTTAATATATATACAGAAGGCATACATACAACATAGTATAATTGTTAGCATAGCTGAGATAAACAATAAATTGGCAGCCAGCCAGCCGTAGGGCGGCCAGGAAAAGCGCTTACGGCGTACTCTCTGGCTGGCGCGTCGCGCAACGGACAGCAAACAGGTGGAATCGTCAACAAAGGCAGCCAGCTGCCAGCGCTGCCTCAGCCAAGAGCAATGTCAAAGCAGCTGCACCAGCAGCTGCAGCAACAGGAAGAACTGAATACAGACTCCACGTCCGACTACGAGGAGCAGCAGGAGCTGGACCAGCAGGCGGAGCAGGATGCGTATGACCCGCTGTCCAATCTGCTGCGCCTGCAGCTGCGCAAGCCCAGCCACTGGAACTGGGAGCTGAACACCTCGCGCAGCTGCAGCAACATAGCACTGCCCCGCATACTGCTCTACGATCACACGGGCGCCCTGCTGGTGAACGCGGATGGGCACAGCGAGCAGACGTACCGGCCCAGCAGCGCGCAGGACTGCAGGCGCAAGCGGGCCTCGAGCAGCCTCAGCAGGAGCCTGCAGCAGGCGCGACTCGCCGGCAGGCTGAATGGCCTCAGCATTGGCGAGGCGACGGCCAGCAGCGAGACGCACTCGGCCCTCCGCTCGCCCGCGAGGCAGCAGCTGGCCGGCAGCTGCATTGAATTCAGCACCCACGAGCTGCCCGACTGGCAGCCGCATGAGGTGGGCAGCTCGCGACGCTCGAGCTCGCTGCGCGGCGTGCGGCTGGCGGTGGAGGACGAGCGGCAGGCCAAGCCGCAGCGCACACAGGAATCGGCGTACCCCACGCCGCCGTCCACCTCGACGCTGACCACTACGGCGAACTCCTCCTCGTCCGGTCCGCGGGAGAAGCGTCGCTACCGACGCTCGCATAGCTCCGGCCAGCACTCGATACTGGAGCGGTTCAGCATGACGCGCGGGCGGCACTCATCGCCCGAGTATGCCCAGGAGCAGGAGCTGGAGCACAGGCCGCGCTATTACCTCTGCAGCAGCAAGGCGGGCACCCTCGTCATCCAAGAGGACAGCTTCAGTCGCGTGCGGCAGCGCCGGCGCCGGCAACGGCACTCCTCCGCCGACAACGTGCTGTCACCTCATGGCAAGAGCCCCGCGGATAGCGACGTGCAGGTCACGGCGCCCAAGCGTCAACAGTCGCAGCTGCGCTGCCGGCAGGCGCCACCATTAACATCCGACGAGGACGCCGACGCCCTAGGCCAGGGCCAGAGCCACAAGCCATTGGCGAGGCACTCGCGTGGCAGGCGTGGCAAGCGCGCTTGCGGCAAGGATTCGCCGGCGCCAGGTGAGCACTGTTTGGAGCTAGACCTGTCTGTTCTCTGGACAGCTCAACTATTTCCTCTCTCTCTCTTTCTCTCATGTTTCCCAGAGCTCATCACGGTCGATCCAGGCAACTGCATCTATAGAGCGGAGCCCTGCGCGACGCAGCGCTAACTCGCGGACGGGATATGCTCACGTGAGCATCGAGACAACTTACTGTTACTTACATATATAAATATATGGGCCACCTCCTGCTTTGTTTTGGTCTTGAAAGCCAACTCTATGTAAATTAATGCAAATAAAAAGAATAGCACACACAGTGAATGGCAAAGCTGCGTATGATCTACGGGCATATCGAAATACCGTTACGTATACGCCATGTGCACGTTTAGAGATCTGAATGAACAAAGCAAATATCGAGGCAGTTGGATATGGATGGACATGGCCTGGCCTAATGCTATATAAACAGTTTAACTATCAAGATTTAGGCTTACCTGTTACCTGCGATATACTTCGATTCTCAATGCCAACTCATTATCTGAGTTCTAAAATAATAACCTAAGCTTGGGTGTCATTATAATTACTAAGTAAGGTCACAAGTCAAAAAGAGTCTTACATTATAGATATGCCAAGATTTAATGTTCTTATTTATATTATAGTTGACTCAATCTCTCGCAGATAATCTTACACTGCAATGTTCTTAAGCCTATATCCCTAGATAGCAACATTGTTATGATGTTCTATTAGGTTCAGGAGCTGAGATAAATTCCAACTTTCTCAAAATCTAACGTGTCAAAAGGCTTTTACATTATTCAACTGTGTTAAATATCTATATATTTGATATGATGCCAGAAAATTTCTATGCTATGCAGAGAAATCTATGATCAAATGCTCTTCTTCTACAGTCCACAAATCAAAAGAAACTCAACCCATTCGAAGCAGAAACATCTTTCATGTATACCCTCTACATAGATATATATACATATACTACCTAACTAGTATATTAGTATTATTATTACGAAGGAAATACAATTTATACCACTGGGCAACAATATGCGCAAAACAAAGCTTTTTATTAGACATTATAATTTAAGTGACTTTTAAACACATTCTCGAAGTGAAATTCAATGTACGTTTTGCTGTCTGTCTGTCCGTTCATTCGCCCGTTCATATGAACGAAAACCATTTCGTCACCAATGGGGTTAGATACTTTAAATTTGGTGTGTATATTCCCGTGGGTACATTCGTCTATATAGAGAGTGAATATTTCAATATGCTTCTTAATTCGGACAAATATCCGGAAAATATGATATTTTGTTGGTTTTTTTTTTTAATTTTTTTTTTTAATTCATTCAAAAGGTTGATAGTACTAGGTAGTAGGCGTGGCATACAATTAAAAGCTCCAATTAAAGATGTTAGTGAAATCTTATACATGTATGTCACGATCATTGGGGGCGTGGCGCATGTGAAAGACATATCTTATATCCTATGCATTATTGTGAGGTCTGTTAAGGCTATAGAATATTATAAAAGTATATACATATGTACATATCAGGCAATGATTTGACGGTAGAGCGCAACACTTAAGTTACTACAGACTCCTTTCCGATTACTTTACCAAAAGAGATTCCATTGTCGGTGACCGCGAATGGGTATTGTGCAGTCGGTAGCGCTCGCTCGCAACATTCTTACTTGTTTTCCTAATTAATTTCTTAACTCTCAATAAAAACTTATTACAAGTGCAGCAACAAAACGTGCATAAACAGAAAAGCAGCGTTTGTTTTCTCAGCCGTATTGTCCCCCAATTTCAAATGCTGCAGCAACAGCTGTCGCCGCAGTTCGCTGTAAATCGAATAGAATTATGCGCCGCAAAGTATGCAATCAAATCGAAATAATCAATTGCGCAGTGTCTTAGCTGACGGCGGATTTCTAATCAGCGCTGACAAAAACAGAAGCGTGGCCAACGAGTCCAACCGACTGCACGATGCGCTGCTAGGCTCAATACTAATGACAGCCAATCAGTTGCAGCTTTCGGGCATACATCCATCTTCTATATAGTTCGGAAATAGAGAGCATCAGCAGTAGCTCTGCTCGACTCTCGTTTTAGTTTGCAGCTTTCATGTCGTGTGAGGGCAAGCTAATACAGCCTGCTTGGATTAGCTGAACAGCGCATTGAGAGTGTTTTGTTAACTGTAAACAGACTGATAAGCGAATGGGCGATTTGGGCGAAGGGAGCGCGAAAGGCGACGCGACGCAGAGGCGAGCACACAGACTGAGCGTGTCAGCAGCAAGGTCCATATCGAATGTGGATTCTGGGTGCGTGCTAAACGGTGGTCAGACAGCGACGTGCTGGCTTAAGAGAACGAAGATGTTGTTGCGCTCGGGACTTCTGTGGCGGCTGGGCGTGCTGGGCGTGCTCTGGGCAGCGCTGATGCTGTGCCAGCTGCGTGGCAGTGCAGCGCGCGTGATCTACTTCAATGCGCTGAGCAGCAATGAGAGCTTGGCGGCCCGGAACGACAGCCTGGATGCCGTGGGCAGGGGCATGCTGTTCGAGTCACGGCGGATGGGCTGCAGGCGTGGATACATGTACGATCATCACAATCGCTGTCGCCGGGTAAGTGAGGCCACCGGCCGTGTGAATATTCGAATTTCCGTGAATTGACTCGCTCGGTGCCGATTGCAGATTGTGTAGCGACCTTTGGACTGGGGCTCGTTACCTTATCGCTTATCCAGAACTCATTAACGTTTAACAAATACATTAAACATACAAAATATAAAAAAAAAGAAGAACGACGTCACAAGACAACCGCCAGCCCATATTTGTCATGATGAAATTACGCGAAATTTCACGAACTGCGCTAGACACTCCATAGATACCAATGCAGATACAAAATACACGACTACAAGATACACAGTGTTCCTAGATAAAGGGAGCAACCGCACGGCGCTGACTCAGTCGTGCGCTTTCGAATCGATAATGGAGCATTTGCCTGCCACTGGCTCGATCACATTTTTGGAAACTTCGATTCATATTGTCATAGCAGCTGCTCTGTGACGTAGCCGGGGGCTTTCTAGGAAAGCCATGAGGCAACCACTGCAGTTGATTACATCTATCGTGGCCCAGCGAGTCATGCTGCCGACGGTGTTTTTGGCCCACAATATGGGCCAGCGGTAATCCCCTCTAATATAGCTCAGTTCGCTCACTCTGCTTTACATTGTATGAGGTTCATACATATATGGTTATGTGGAAAACATATCTCCAATTGCTGATTGCTGTTTAATTAGCTTTATGTTGACTGGTCAGCCGATCGGAAACAAAAACAAGTCAATGTAAGCTAGTTGGAATTAGTCGTCTAACGAATACCCTAGACTAGCATGGCGCTCATTAATGTTAAGCAATTTTTCCATCAAATTCGAATAAGTTTTTCCTGCAATATTATAAGTAAACATAGCCAATTAGTTTATTACATTACATTCACATATATTTAAATTTTCCCCCTTCAAATTTACAGCCCTAAAACTTAATTGATAATGATTTCTCTAAATAAGCGATTATATTTTCAACAAAAATTACATTTCTATACTTATACTTATGCACATTTTTTTCGTGAATTTTGTAGTTTATCTTTCAAATTCTAGCAACAAATTATTATTAATACAATAATTATAATATACTCAAATACTTTGTTCAATAAATTGAATTAAAATTTAATCAATTACTTCTGCTTACTTCCTGGTAAAATTGCCAATTTTTTATTTTCAATAAATGTCTTTGGGATTACTTTGGGCAAAAGATTGTAATAGAGACACAATGGAATTGCAATTAGCTTTTTTAAGTATCCAATGAAAACATTAAGTGGGCTGATTGAAATGTTGTCACATTGCCAAAATTTTCGTTTCTATTTAAGAGCCCGCCGTAATATTTGTATCTCCTGCAGGGTATCTTGAAGTCGACAGGCGAAGGCTCAAGCAACAAATTTTGCAACTTATATTAACGATTCTAAACAATATTAATTTTAAAGTTTACGCTCTTTATAAATGTATATGTCTAGATAAAATAAATATATTTATAGTTGACATTATTCACATACAATTAAACTCATACTATACCAATAAAATTTCATTCATCAATACTGCGTTCATCGCTATCTTATATATTGTATGTTTATACATATGTTCTGGGCAACAGGTGACCGAATTCGTATTGACTAATAAGCAATACGTTGCAATGATTTTCGGACTTTAAGTATATGGTAAACTCAAACGGCAAATGGTATTTATATTTATTTCAAATACGATTTTACTTAAATTTTACTTAAAAGTTTAATTAATATATGAAAAATTAAAGTCTATTATACTTGATTGACTACTTGCAATTAAAAAAGTATTTTTCGTCTGTATATTCAATTTCATATAACACGAAATGGCATTACAATTTTAATTTAACAAAAATATTAGGGAGTTACGAATTTTAGGAAAAAAAAATTAAGCTCGGAATTTAGATGTGAATTCTTATTTGATCTGAATCTACTTTTTAGCTCACGTGATAGAGTCTAAGGTGCAGGGTATTGCATCTTCGGCACTCTGGCTTCTCTTTCTTCTCTTGCAATCTACAATTGGATAGAAGCTCTTACTAAAAAATAGGTATTAGCTCATATACTATTTTCGAGGATCTGCTCGATTGGAGCGATGCCAAATGGTTTTATATTTAGAAGCGCTGCCGCACGTTCCATGCAATATATCAATTAATTCTAATGATAAGCTTCGTTTCTTTGTACCGATACCTAAACTGAAGTTGGGCTTCGCGCGCTGATTTTATTGTCACGTTGAATATTTGTTAAGTACGTAAGGCAAGGCAAAGCAAAGTAAAGCAAAGCAAGACATTCAATTACCCAGATTGCGAATGACATAGTAGCGGCTCTCAGATAAGATTCGCCCATACAGGGTGCTGCCCACAGTCACTCAGTCAGTGGAGTAGCCTGTATAGTTTATCAAGACGGAGACGGAGACGACGCCAATGCTCGGCTGGCAGGCAGAGGCCACTTTTACTTAAGAACTGCTTGCCCAAATCGTATATAATCAGTTAATTGACGGCGTTGGAGCGTATAACTCGGTTGCTACCAGACCAGGCCTACTAGAGCTCCAGCCCCCAATAGCGATTACACAATTTCACATTCTCACGAAAGTGCAACCAACGAGAGAGAGAGAAATATAGTGAGAGAGAGAGAGAGAGAGAACAAGAGTTGAACACAGACAGCAAAAGGGAGTGAGTGCATTGTCACGAGAGAGTGATCAATATCGATAGAGAGAGAGAGCGAGAGAGCCATCAGTAAAGGGAGAACGAGATCATGATGCTGCATCGCATCCATCAATTGCTTCTGTATGCGCTGTGTCTACTCTTCGTGGTCGTGTTGTGTGCTCCAGCACCGAGTGAATCGCGCCGTGTGATCTTCTTCGCGCCACCCGGCATTGCCCGGGGCCAGATACTGGCCACGCACGGCCTGGAGAAGCCCTGCCAGAAGTGCCACATGAGAGACCATCGGGGCAACTGTCGGCGTCTAATATCGTACAGTTCAGGTGTGTATTGAGACCCAGGCCAATGGCCCAGTGTCTTATCTCGAGTGTGCTCAACTCGCTGCTTTTGCCTCTTTCAGATGGCTCGCACTGTTGACATCGCGACCGGATATCGTCAAGCGCTATCAACTGAATCTCCAACTCTCTCAGAAACTAAACATAAACGTCATCAAATCTATTTATTCGCGTTCAGTGCACTATTTATTACATTACTTTCACACCCTACGTTTACCCAAAGACAGTTTTATGGATGTCTGTAACAGTTTTTATTTTATTTTATTTTATTTTATTTTTATTTTTTTTTTGTTGCTTATTACTTAAATAGTTCCTAATAATATATGTACTTACCACAACATTACACAAAAAAAAAAAAAAAAAACGTATTTTTCGTGGCGATTTTTATACTCTAAACATGGCTGAAAATAGGTATTCAGAGTATAGTGGTTTTGTGGAAATCTTTGTAACCGTGTCGATGCGACAGTCCCAAAAACCAAAAATAGCTAGAGCATTACAATTTAAAAAAAAAAAATATTTGTGCAGCTTTGAGTACTGTAGAGTCCTGTGGTGAAATTAGAGGTTTTTAATATTTTCTCACTTAAGTATTGTTTCCTGGTATACATTCATGCATGAAGCCGAAAATGATTCCAAGATCAGATTTGTGTCAGGGTAACTTATAGTCGGTGCTGGCTATGTATGTGTGTGTGATCATAAAGCTTTCAAACAAGTTCAAACAAGTTGTCTTCGGAAAAGATTTCGATCATTTCTTCTAGAGAAGAGTAAGTTTTTGTATAATTATCTTGACGGTTTTTTAAATCAGTTCTGTCAGAAAGTATAAAAATGCCGATTTAGAATACTTTCATCAAGTCAAATCAAAGCTTTTCTGATAAACAAAAACTAGCTCAAGCAATATCCCTTTGTTACATCTGACTTAAGTGTGGATTATATCTAAAGATCCCCATGCCACACTTTACATTTTTGAAGATATCTTCATGGCTAATTATGTACGTAGTACACCTCACAGACCATATCAATTCGAGCCACGATAGCTTACATCGTATCGAAGTAGTCGGTCGGAGAAGCTTTTGTATTGAAGTGGTGCCAGTAAGCCCTTTCTTTACATGGGAATTACTATATTTTGCGTGGCAGTAAAAAGACATTGAACCGCACCAGTAGAGGGAAGGATAGATGAACGTGGTTTTACTAACCTTATATCAAAACAATAAATAAATGAACTGGCATATCAGCATTTTATCAGATAAGTAGAGAAAAGAACAACTGAGCATTCGATTCTCCCAAGGCTGATGATTGTTTAGATTTTAATGTGATCAAGAAAATCTTTTGAAAAGACTTTTAAGATGTCCAAATCAATAAAAGACAATGTATTAGCATTGTTGAAGTAATCCTTGGTTTTCTGCTCGTTTGCCTACAAAAATTGAAGGAGAACTCTGAAAATTTACAATAAGTAGATTATGACCTACATCTAATAATTTTTATACCCTGAACCCATTTTCAATGGGAAATCAGGGTATAATGGTTTTGTTGAAATGTATGTAACAGGGAGAAGGAGGCGTGGTAGACCCCACAAAGTATATATATTCTTGATCAGGGCGACGAGCTGAGTTGATTTGGCCCTGTCCGTCTCTGTCTGTCCGTCTGTCCGTCTGTCCGTCCGTCCGTCTGTCCGTCTGTCCGTATGTATGAACGCGTCGATTTCAGAAGATATAAGAGCTAGAGACTTCAAATTTTTTTTTAAATGTTCGTAATTACAGCGCGCATATCAAGTTTATCATTAAAAATCGATAACTCATCCCGATCTTTTTTATCGATAAAAAACCTTATCGAAAACCAGTTAGAAAATTATATCTTCTACACCTTTATTGCTAGTCTCCAAATTTTTAATGTATGCTTATATGCAATTTATACAATTTCGGTTTTTGTTAAAATTTACCCCTCACCCTCACTTTTGTAAAAAGCGTATTTCAATAACTAGAGACTTGTGCTTTAGCAATTACATGCATATCCGTGTCATAATCATAATCTGAAAGTTTCATGAAGATCGCACGTCCACAAAAAAGTTATTAAGCAATTAAGTTCTCAGAGTAAGCGCTCACTGCCGCCCATGCGTGTTTATGCTTGTGTGTGTATATGTATGTAATTGTTTGTGTATGTGTGTGTGTGTGTGTGTGTATGTGTGTATTATGTGTGTGTATGTATGCCTGTGTGTGCGTGCGTGCGTGCGTGTGTGTGTGTGTGTGTGTGCGTGGTTCTTGTGTAAGCTGAAAGACGCGAAAAATTATTGAAATAGCTATTACTCCAAGGGTTCAGGGGATCTCGTAGTCGAGTAGTCTCGACTAGAGCTTTCTTACTTGTTTAAAATGGCATTGGGGTATGGGGCATAAGAGAATTCTGCATAGATTCCATTTTTTTTTTTTTTATTATAATCTTGTTTTAATAACTTGAAATTTTCGTATAGATTGACAATAAATATAGATATAAACATTATGAACTACGTTACGCCGTCTGGGAGTATCCACATATATCTTTAAATTTGATCTATATTTATATTTGACAGTTATCTGAACTATATGAAATGGGAAAGTGACCAAATATTGATAGTGTATTGATTTAAATCATGCTAGACTTTTTGGGTATTGATATTAACAAATTTTGGAATGATGTTATAATTTATTTTTTGTAAGTCGGTAAGCATACAAGACAATAGAAATATATCGATCGTTCTGAATGTCAAAATATTGAATTTTAATTCAATACAACCTGCTCATCGTGGCAGCTCCATTTTCCAGATCTCTTCTACCCACATTCTTGAGTATATGGAGAATACATAAGACTCATTGCTATCATCAGTCTTGGTTCGGTTAAGAGCCTAGATTGTATAAAGTATATTTTTTGAATTTTATCAGCGTAGAGCAAGATGCTGAAAGATTTTGTTGATTTCCACCTTTTTATGAAAGATTATCAAATGTCAAATGACTCAATTCTAGTCAAGGGAAGTATTGCGAAAAAGAACATATTTTACACACACTAACTAACGGCTATTTCAGCTCAGCACGCAACAAAAATACACTTTTAAGAAAATCTTTATGATGCGATAAAGCGAGAAAGCGATTCAGAATCGATTACAGCGATTACATGTAAGCGATTCAAGCGATTAAATGTAAATCTGCATGCAGAGCTCTCTCGCGAATTGTCGCTCATTATCGCATCGCTTATCGCGTCCACTCTGACATCATTTATATATCTGATTACCAATAAAGTATTTAATTTATAACAAGTAAGAAAGCTCTAGTCGAGACTGCTCGACTACGAGATCCCCTGAACCCTTCGAGCAATAGCTATTTCAATCATTTTTCTTTCTGCTTACACAAGACTAACGCACACACACAAACACACACACGTTTATAGTATTTGAAATACGCCTTTTACAAAGGAGAGGGGGTAAATTTTGACAAAAATCTAAATTCCATAAAGGCAAGTTATCGATTTTAAAGCAAAGCTACTACTACTTTGCTTGACCAGCTAGTAGCTAAAATAGAATAACTTCACAACAGAGAGTCATCTGACATAACTATAGTAACGGCTAGAAAATCCAGAAATCAATCGCAATTCTTAAAATATGCTAGAAGGCACGCTCTGTACGCATAGAATAAACGGTGAATGTGGGCACATGTGTATAGAAAAATCGCCCTAATCTGTAACTAGCTTGCAGCCGGTATCCAAAATATTTAATAATTATACTTGTAATTTAAAGATCCTATTTGCAAAGATATACTAAATATAAATAGAAATAGCTATCAATGAATACGAATGCGTATTCTGCAATCGGTAACGCCCGACTGCAAAGTTCTTACTCTTTGTTGTTACAATATAAACAGAAGATCTAATTGTTTATTTAGTATTTTAGGATTTAGTATTAAGTATCTAATCAATTCTATTCAATATATAGTATTTAGTATCCAAACAGTGAGCTGTTTTATTCTACGTGAGTGTAATTATAAACGTCAGTTATATAATGAGATCACTTTTAACAATGTGTATATGTTATTTAGCATTTAATTCAGGCTGCGATCTATTGCAGTCTTTTATTTTATATTTTATCCTACTTCGGTTTGCTCAAGTTGATAGCCAGCCTTAGATCTGATTAGCATATTTCTGGTTACACATGGCAGAAACGAAACTGACGGGGAGGGGTTGCCGATTGCAAAGCTTTCGATTCCCAAGTTTTGCAGTATATTTTCAGGCATGAGCTGCAATTGCGAATAATTTTGTAGGAATATGGCCGGAAGTTTGATTTCACGGACCATGACGTAACCGATTTGTGGACGCAGCGCAACGCATTGTCGTGGAATTCGCCGAGTGAATTCCCGCACGCTTTCGTCACAGACTGTGTGTGCTGGTGTGAGTGGCTGGCGGCTGTTCATTACTAAGATACAAAAATAGAAGCGACTGGCCGCTGCCAGTAACAGTCCAGGGGCAACAAATGTGGTTTCCACTGGCTGGTATGTAGAGGAGCTCGCCAGCCCATGCCTATCGCGTATCTTATCAGCGAGCGGATCGTGTGGAATGCCCTTATCTAATCTGACAGCGGCGCATTAAGTATTGAAAACATCGACAGGGCAGCGTCGACTACAATTACGACTACAGCCACAACATCGACGATCGCATGCAGTCGTAGTCAGTCCAGCGTCGAAAGAATCCCGCACGCCCGGTCCGAACAAACAACGAAAATAAGCAAAACCAAAGCCAAAGCCAAAAAAATAGCCAAAGCCAAAACCAAACCAAGTGAACTCTGCCATCTCGCCAATCCGCCGATCAACATGCAACTGCAACGCCTGATTCTCGCCGTGGGATGTGCTCTCATACTGCTGCTCGGCCAGTGCAGCCAATCGACAGAGGCGCGTCGCCTTATCTTCTACAGTCCGCGCAGCAAGACGCTAACCGGCCAGCTGCTCATCTCAAGTCGGGTTAAGCGACCCTGTCCGGCGGGTAAAATGCGCGATCATCGTGATCGCTGTCGGCGCGCCGTGATCTTTGCGCGAAACAAGTGAAGTGAGTGGGGCAGAGAAGAGTCGTATTCTTCGGGTTATTATTATAATTTTTTTTTTTTTTATTCGCTAGGCACTTACGATTTAATTTATTATAATTGTACTGTAGTAGTTATACTATGTTTGTTTTTAGTATTTATTGATTATTGTAATTTATGCACATCCACGCAGTAGTATTAACAGTTGTAAGCTGTGTAATGCATGTAACGAACATGTAGACAAATAAACGATACCTATACCTCATAAAGATAATGCACTTTTCCGGGCTATATTCGACTATACAAATATTCTATACAAGATTGTGAACAGTGATATTTGTGCTTCGATTAGAGATGCGAGACTACAAGTGTTTGCCAATGTTAAGGCTTGGAGATCGTGTAATCTTAACCAAAGACGCAAAATTTCTCTCATCTGGAAGTCGCAGTCTATATATGTGTATACTTAATGGCTATCATTCCGTCTCATCTTAGATCAAGATTCTAAAAATATCTGTAAATTAAATGAAGTTCATACAAAATAGATCTCTGTAAATTTAACAAGAGTTACTGAAACAATAAAAGTCCAACTATGATCAGAGCATCCAGTTTGTAATATTTCTTAATTTTCAGAAAGATAGGATGTAATCATGATGTGAGTAGACGATTCAGTAGCCAGCGACGCTTAGACAACTACTCGGCTCATTACCCTGATTAACAGTGTTTTCCAGTATACCCTCTATTAGCTCATGATGAATGGGTAAAAATAATAAAAGCCCATGTATATGTTTTATGAACAGTGCTGGCAGTGACTTGAAGCTGTCGTATGTTTGGCTGCGAGGTATTACCCTACTATGATTGGCAGCTCGCTGATGTCATCAAAACTTTCCATCAAATTGAATAATCTTTAGTTTTCAGCCAATCAACTGATGATTTGTTTGTTCTTTCCTTGAATGTCCGTAGCTCGTATCTAAGTCATAGGCATAGTATTTAATTTAAGGCTGTTCTTTCATCTAAGACAAAGACTCGTATTGATCGACTATTGAATTTGCAAGGGGCAAGGGGATCGATCTTATCGAATAAAGTCAGCTGGAGAAAAGAAATGATTAAATGGAAACAAAAACTTTGAATTTCTAGGGTTTTAACTTATTTTCGCTTATACACGAATTCAACAATTTTTTTTATCAAATTTATGGTATTTGACTTGTGGCGTTATCTACGGAATGACCCCACACAGAAAAAGGTGTTTAGCCAAGGGCTTATCGACATTTAAGGTGTTCCACAAGCCGGAAAACTAATTTCAGTGAATGCTTTTAGAGCAAACACTATTCAAATTGAAAAATTTAATAAAGTCGCCCGATAAGATCGATCCGTAAATGTATTCTCTGCGTGACAATCAATATGCTCATAATTAAGGGAATAGGCGAATTTGCAGAATTATATTAACAAAACGCAGACCGTAGACCGTAAATCGAGTTAATGACGTCAAACTCCTGTTAATTACACTCTGTCGTGTGTGTTTTAAGCAATCTCTAGATCTATCAATCGTGACAAACGGCAATGCGCAGAAATCAAAATGTGTCCATTTTTAGTCGCGTTTTATGTTCGTTTTTTGTTGGTGACATAATTTTCACTAAACTCATTGAAAATATATAATATATAAGAGCTTACTTTATGAGTTCACCTATGATATTGCGGCATCAAATTTGCATATTCAAATTATCAAAATGTTCTACATTTACAAATGTACAAGTGCTTGTCTGGAAATACGAAAACTGCAGCTGGTACTAATAAATCTGTCGAAAATAGCTTACATAATACGTAGAATTCTTGTATTCTGAGAATAGTGAAAACTAGAGGCAATAAAAAACAAAACTGGTGAATCTTGAAAGTGTGGAAAATATATAAGAAATATTATTGTCGGGTATAGCCGACCTTGCAAGTGCTAGTGGGTATACAAAAGTGTGTTCCGATTTGCTTTCGTAGTTCATATGTCTTGTATTTAGAAAATATTGGGAACTTAGGACAATAATTTAAAAAATAAAAATAAAAATAAAAACAAGTAAGAAGGCTCCAGTCGAGACTGCTCGACTAGGAGATACCCTGAACCCTCTAAGCTGATATTCTAATCATTCTGCACTTCTTTTATGCACATGCATCCACACGCACGCATAAGCCCGTGCTCTGCTAACTGCGCAGTAAGCAGCGACTGCGCTTGGGCTGCGCTGCAGTGTGGGCAGTATTATGAGAATTTCTTTGTTGAATAATTTCTTTTGTGGACAAACGATCTTAATGAAACTTTCAGAACGTAATCATAATGTTCAAATGTATGTACATTCTAAAGCACAAGTCTCTAGTACTTGAAATGCGTTTTTTCCAAATTGTAGGCGAAGGGGGCGTGGTATCCAAAATCTGTAAATGACAAAATCTATGTATCCATTAACTTTATATACAACGCAAATTTGAAGTCTCCAGGTCTAAAAGTGTTCAAACTAGGCTGAAAAAACCAAGTCGATTTTTCGATTATTCTCGATAAAAAAGTTATCGGATGAGTTATCGAAAAAATAAAGCAAACTTGTACTGCCTATGGTATACACGAGTATGCATGCCAAATTTCAGCTCTCTAGCTCTTATATCTTCTGAGATCCTTTTGCTCATACGGACGGACGGACGGACGGACGGACGGACGGACAGACGGACAGACGGACAGGGCTATATCGACTCAGCTCGTCGTCCTGATCAAGAATATATATACTTTAAGGGGTCTGCGATGATTCCTTCTGCCTGTTACATACTTTTCACAAAACCATTATACCCTGATATCCCATTTTCAATGGATTCAGGGTATAAAAATAAAATAAAAATAAATAAATAAAATTGTGAATTGATAATTCGATCGAATATTATCTCTATAGAATGTTGAAACTGCAGAAAATATATAAGGAATATTTTAGTCGGGTGTAACTGCTTATGCAATGCTCGTTCAAAAAGTCAAACATCGAAAATGGTATTTTAGGTCAAGTCAATATGCATGCTATGAACGAGTATCGCTATAAAGAATTGAGCTGATGAGAATAGTAAATTACTATTAGTAATATAAGCAATCGGATCAACTATCACCTATGGGCCCGATTTTGCTGCAGCATCGCTGTTGCTCTCAATGGTGTGCTCGATCCAGTCGACGTAGCTGCTGACTCTGGTGTAGACGCCTGGGAAGTCGGACACTCCGCAATACCTTTTGCCATAGGATACGATGCCGGCCTGGTAGACGAAGCGTTCCCTCTGGGGCGTGTAGGCCTCGACGGTGAGCGGACCGCCCGAGTCGCCGGAGCAGGAGTCGACGTGAATGCCGCCCGAGGCGCAGAACTGGCCTTCGGAGAGCGTGTAGTCGTGTTTGCGCAAGGACGTGCGGCACTGCTCCTGCGGCTGCACATAGAGCACGGCCTTGAGCTTGACCTCGCTCGGCTTGTTGTCGTGCTCGGTCAGACCCCAGCCGGAGACATCCACAGCGCTGCCCACCAGCTGATCGGCGCGCGAGCCTCGCACGGGCGGCAGGCACACTGGCTCCACGTGCGGCAGCTGGCTCCAGTCGACGGGCTGTGCGAGACGCAGCAGTGCGATGTCGTGGGTCAAGTTGGCCACGTCGAACTGCGGATGCACCAGCTGCCGATCGATGCTTGCTTGGATGTGGCGCGGCGCACACTCTCGCTGGCCGTTCCAGGCCGTTAGGCAGTCCGGGTCGCTGGTCTTGTTCCACTCGCCCAGCCGGGCGCCGGTCAGTCTTCGATGGCCGCCCACGAAGCTCTGGTGCACGCAATGCGCTGCGGTGAGCAGCCAGCGCTGAGCGATGAACGAGGCGCCGCAGCTGTGTTGCTTCTGTCCGCCGGCGATCAATGTATACTCCAGCAGCGTGGTCCAGGGAAACTCCAGAAGACCCGTTATGTGGCCGCCGTACACCTTGAATGCAAATGAGGTGCCGCAATGCGGGTGCCTGGGCAGTTCATCGGGCGTGGCGGGTGCAGCTGGGAAGGCCCTTCCCTGTTTCACGGCTGATGAGTTCTTTTGCGAGCGACCTGCCAGCAAAGGCAACACGCTTTGCTCACGTGGACAACAAATCTGCAAGGGATAGATCAATTCGAGTGTGAATGGCCATGGCTGTCTGCTTTTGCTGTGTGGACTCTCTGTATTTGGATGCGCGCTAGCCATAGATCGCATACTAGGTACAGCCTGTTGACAGTTTGTTTCGGCAGCTCGTTGTGTCTATAGATAACCCTCAATAACTCTATCACAGCTGCAATGTGTCAATTTTGTGATCTGATCATCCCCAATGGACTCGACTAATCCATCCCTACAATAAAGGCTACCGGCTGATATTCATATTTTCCAATTCTTGTTCGAGCCATCCACATATCAGCAATTACATTCATACGTTTACTCGTTTCTTCTTCTTGCTGTCAGTCAAGTGAGTTGATGTCTCTCTTTCTACCCTTCCCTCCACTATCCATATCAGATGGACGAGTTCCCGTTGACTAATTGTATCGACCTAGCCACATCATGTCTATTACATAGATGCTAATAGTTTCTGCCTTCCGCTGTCTGTCACTCCCGACACTGAACTCACCAACTCAGGGCGCTGCTGTGAGCGACAAACCCTTTTGCCAGCCGCCTTTAGCAAGTTCACATCGTAGAAATCACAATTGCTGCTGTAGACACAACGTCCGGAGCCGTAGTTATCCGTATTGCAGTTTCCGAAGTATACCTCTGCTAATTGGATAAGAGTTGTATGACTGCATATTCCCAGGCTGATCTACTTACTACTCGCGCTGTCCGCTCCAATCTGCTGTGCCCTCAGCTGGGCGGCCGCCAGCAGCAGTGTCAGCGACAGCAGCGCATGTGACGTCATCGATGGCTGATTGCAGCTAACCACAATTCCGGAGCTGATACTAGAGCTTGATTGAACTCAGCGATTGAATTGCGCTAAATCAACTATTCACAGCAGAGCTGGCAAATCGACTCAGAGACAGCGCGAGTGGAGCTGACCTCCGAGTGGCTGGCGTCAGATTTTGTTGCTCTCTGCCTCTCTCATTGATTAGCAATTACACTAACTCATTTTCAATTGAAAAAACCAGCTTAGGTGTTTGATTTCTACGGACTTACACTGCAATTAAGCAAGATGGCTTTGATCGGTAAAAGGTGCAAAGCTCAGACGAACCTAAACGTATTCCATTATATATGTACATAGCGCAATTCGCATTATGTAAGAAGTTCTCTTGCGACAAACATTTATTACAATTACATCAAGCTGTAGTTACAGTAGCCAAACCCAATCACGTTTGGAATAAAACAATATCATAATCTTTATATAATTATAATTACATTAAGCATATAAAAGCATCACCTCTCTCTCTCACTCTCTTTTCGGCTATAACATATTTCCGATTGGCTCTAATAGGGGATCTACAATTAGCTTACATAGCATCAAATTTATTGACATAAAAGTTCACTTTGATTGAAATTTACCTAAAAATGTTTTTACATATAAGTTAAGCTTTGGGTTTATTTTATACTTGAGATATACTTTAACATTTTCCATATTTGTTA